CACTAGACCACGGAGGCGGTCGTGACATAATAAAGTCAGTGTTGCACCTGACTGACTAATGAGCACGTATATACAAGTTTCAAATAGAACAGGACACACTTCCGACATATCCCCTCTGGGCCCGTTAATTGGTCCCATCTGTAAAATCATGGGTAAACTTGGACCTCTCTCAAATCTACTTGTGCCCGCATTTAAAGTCAAATTCCCGTACCATATTGACCTATTGTGACGTTTTTGTTTTCATTTCTGAAATGAGTAAACAAAGTCGGTGAGATGAAAACGGCTGTTCTCAAACTTGAAGATGGAGATATAAATAACGTCTGGTCCTGTCGTAGACGTCCGTCCATCTCATTCCAGACATGTTCTGTGGGGGCGAGGTCTGGAGAAACAGCCGGTCACGGCAGTACAGCAATGTTATGATGCCTCACAAAGTCTATTACAACACGTGCAACACGTGGGCGGGCATTTTCCTACTGCAACGGGACGTCACGTTCCTGTATTTACAAAGGGTAGATAGAGTACGCCAGCCTTCGCCATTCAAATTGCCATTAACAATGATGACTTATGTTCTCCCGCTTACGTTCGCCAGATCAATTTGTAGTCCCTTGCATGACCATCAGAGCTGTCCAGATGAAACCTGGAGTCATCTGTGAGCAGTTTACTGTCCCAGTCTTGTCTTTTGAACCTCAGATGCTGTCTTGGCGTGCCTGACGGTGACGTGGAAGAAACATTTGGCACGTGGATAACCGGCCTGTGGCAAGTCATGTCTCCAAAGAGATAATACTGTGTTAACGAACAAACATTAAACTGTCTGGCAACTTTCTTCTTTGCGCGTTGATTTTCAGAAAGCCGTGGCATTGCGTAAGCGCTATTTACGGCAAAACACAAGTTTTTTGGAGCACCTGATAGCTAAAGTCATTGTGACTAAACATTTGCCCTTGCAAATAGTGAAACCTTAAAGTCGAGGAGATGAGTTCGTGAAAATGTATTGAAAGATGCATTATCTAATTTCAGAATATATTTTTATTTTTATTAAAATTTATTTGGAGTACAGTTACTTTTTCCGTTGGAATACATAACATGTATAGATATGTATTACTAATCATTTTCAAAAACCTGATTTAGATGAATTCACCTACTTTTGAGACAACGCTAATATATGATCCGACAGATGGAAAGGGTAAGCCTTGGTTGAAGGCAGAGAATGTGGTAGGATTAATAAAACTAGAGGGTTTGGGTGAGGGGGGTGTTGGCGGGTGGTGGGATGTTATAAACTTTCGATCAACTTCAAGTCACTATCACTTTTAAGTACAATTCAAATGAAGACTGAATTTGAGCTCTTGGCACGACTTTTATCCTGACATGTGTTCACAGTTAAATACACCCTGAAGTAAGACAACACCTGCCCGTTTCCTACCTGTACCCCATGAAATAATGAACTGATCCTATTCGCCTGCCCCGATACGTGCAAAACGTGGGGTTATGATTGAATCCATGCGGGAATTGACATTATTTTCATACTAAGGTATTAGGGTAATTGCGTGTTGCGAGCTGAAATATTTATGATTGAGTATCGCACATTTGAAAACGGAAATGCGAGCTGCATGGAGACAAAGGCTGTTTTCGGTGTCAATGAAATTACAAATGTCGGCCCGTGAACATTCAGTATTGATTCAGCAGGCAAGTATTGTGAATAAATATAAAAAAATGAACGTGAGGATATCGAACTAATTCCTGTAATAACGGCCAGAAAATGATTCTTGAAGGTTTAAATTTCATCTTCAAGAAATTTTAAACCCATTGCTGTATAGCAAATACGCAGATCTGAGCTTCTACCAAATGTAATGTGAGCTTTTGATCTTGTACAACAATTATGAGTTAAAAACACGGAAACGCAGTATGGAGCCTTTCAGGCTTCCCAACGATGAACTGCAACTATACTTTGTACATGGTCTATCTCTCTGTGGCAGAAGCACCTCACAGCATGGGGTCTCAGACTCTGCCTATCAGAGAATAAGCTTGTTTGGGGATACTGCAGACACGGGCTTTCAAGGTGAGGTGAGGCAAAATGGGGTTTAACGTTGATTCCAAGAGTGTTGCACTTATATAGCGACGTGTGTGTATGTACGTGCGTCCGCGTGTACTAGTCCGGACTAATGTCGATTTTATAGTGCTAGCACACTGAGATACCATTCGGCAGTTTAACCTTTACTTGAATACCCCACTTAGACGCAGTGTACTGACTCCGAGCCGACCAGTCCTTGTTTTAACCCCTTAATGGCGAGCGCCAGGCAGGTTAACAACAACTACCATCTTTTAACGTCTTTTGGTAGGACGCGGCTGGGGATCGAACCCACGACCTTCTGTTCTCCAGGCGGACGCTCTACCACTAGACCAGGGGGTGGTCTGCTTTCATTAAAGGTACTCTGTTAATACAATATTACTTCATACAAGTGACAAAAAACATAGCCAACAGTACATGAATAGCTGGGCGGTCGGGTAGCCTAGTGGTTAAAGCGTTGGATCGTCACACGGAAGACCCGGGTTTGATTCCCGACATGGGTACAGTTTGTGAAGCCCATTGTCCCCCGCCGTGATATTGCTGGAATATTGCTAAAGCGGCGTAAAACCATACTCACTCACTCACTCACATGAATAGCTAATGAACACTCCTAATTTAGACATATTTCAAACCTGGCGTCTACTGAAAGCACAACCTCATCAATCACTGCATGGATACACATTTCCCACACAGTGCTTCTTTTCAAACTGGATGAACCACCTCGGCAGAATAGCGTATGAATGCGGCTCACAATGGGAGAATGTTATTATTTTCTAGTCTGATTGAAGTACATGTGCAGCCATCACTCACTGCAGCTACATGAATTCACAATTTTGAATTCAAAAGGATCAATGTCAAATGCACTACACAGAAATATATGAATATACTTATATGTGAACATTCTAGCGCCCTAGTTTCTCTGACTGGCACTAGTGTTCAAAACACTGGATTCACGTTATGACTGTTTAGTGTTATGTGTAACTGTGGCTTTAAGAATACACTATAGAGGAAATATTAACTGTGAATGTGACATAAAAACACACCGCAACAAATGCAATATTTGAGATGAAATACTTGTATAATAGAAGAACATACAGAAAAATGATTAATAATTTTCTAGAATCAATGAGTAATTAGTTATCAAGCTGAAACGCAACGATACACAGATACCTACACACCATGAAATGTCATATACATAGTGTGAATTCTGCCTAAGAGTGAGTGAGTGAGTGAATTGGGTTTAACACTGCATTAAATAGTATTCTATTTATATCAGGGTGTGCCAGCTTGTTGGGGGAGGAAAGCCCCAAGTGATGTTTACCACATTGGTGGAACCCATGAACACAGGTATGGTGCTGACAAACCTAGAAATCACAATCATAGGTTTCTGGCATGCCCATCCGTGCCCCCTCAGCCAAGCCTTTTTGAGGCAATACATGAAGATATGCCTAACTCGCTGTAATTTGTAAATATAAACAAGGAGTGGACCTTGTATACTGAACCAAATTAAAAACTTCACAATCCTGAAATTTTAACATTTTGACCAGTTATCATTGTGGGCCCTTATTGTGTATTTAAACAGTAATGGCCACGTATTGACTTCAGATAACACCCGTTTTTGTGCAGGTGAATCCATCAAAATCATGTGCACAGCACTATAGTGGCAAAAGTGGTTTTTCACGTGCAACTGGTCACGTGGCCATAATACCGCCCGTGTTTTCAGCCATACTTGTTAGCAGTCATTAAAAAAGAAGAAGAAAAACACAAGAAAACAAAAGTCTTTACGGCCATTTGTCATGCCACGCCTTTCAAATGTGCAACATGAACGTGCCATCGGTATGTTGCAGACGGGAACGTCCGTAGCTGAAGTCGCAAGGACGATGGGTTGTAGTCGACGGACAGTTTATGATTTACAGACGCGTCTACTGCAAACGGGTACCGCCGCTGATCGCCCTCGGCCATGTCGACCACGTGTGACGTCACATGCAGAGGATCGTCAGATTGTCTTACGTCACCTCCGTAACCGATTTTTGACGGCTACATCAACCAGAAATGAACTGTTTAGGTATAGACTGAGTGCGCAAACTGTTCGAAACCGTCTTAGAACTGCTCACCTTCAAGCACGACGGCCATACTGGGGGCCGATTCTGAATCAATTACACAGATGTCAACGTCAATTGTGGGCACAGTGACACTTACGATGGACTCAGAGGAATTGTAATCAAGTCGTCTTCAGTGATTAATCCCGATTTACTCTTCGATTTGCTGATGGTAGGGCGAGGGTGTGGAGGCGCCGTCATGAACGTTACGCCCAGTGTTGTGTATAGGAAGTTGACAGATTTCGAGGCGTAAGTGTCATGGTGTTGGTTGCTTTCTGTGGCAATGCACGTTCCAGGCTTCTTGTCATCCGTGGCAACCTCAACGCGGCTGGTACTGGCACCAGAACTTCTGCCTTTTATGGCAGCACATGGACCCGGTTTGATCTTCCAACACGACAATGCCAGACCCCACACAGCAATTTTGACAAGGAATTTCCTTCAGAATGCGGGAGTCAAAGTCATCGACTGGCCGTCAAGGTCTCCCGACCTCAATACCATCGAACACGACTGGGATGCTCTTGGCAGAAGTCTGCGTACTCTCCAGAACCAACCACAGAATTTGCAAGATCTTGGCACCATTTTGCAGCAACAATGGCGTCGTCTTCCCAATCATGTGTTCACAAGCATCACAAGGTCCATGCGGAGGCGTTCGGTGGCAGTTGTCAACGCACATGGTGGCCAAACACGCTACTGAACTTGTGTGCCATCAGATTCTCGTGCTTGGAACTTATGATTTAAACTCTTGATGTTATTACCAAATACCGTAGGTGCTTGGAACAAATTATGGTTACCATCGTGATTTAAAATCCTTCTTTGGACATTAATGATTAAAAATTACCTTCTCTGAAGTTTTTGATTTGACTCAGTATAAATAATAATCACATATAATTAATACTCAAACATTTGTATGGCCCTTAGGGTGTTGCAATTCACTGTGACAAGTTGCCCCTTTGAAGCTCTGGGATCCACCAATAGTCGGTTCAACGCCCTGATTGTGAGTTGCATGTTTCTGTGTCTTTAACTTGCAGACAATCTCGCATCTTCCCGAGGCATGGGAGTCAACTGACTATAAAAGTCCAGTTTCGTAAACTGGATCTGGATCTGGATCTGGATCTACACGGATGACATTTCAAACACGTTTCTTTTCTGAAATGACAATGTGTAATATCATGGACACTTAATACGAGGTCCAAGGTCATATATACCTCCTGGGAACAAGGAATTACTGTCTGTCCTCATAAATAAATGCCTTGGAACAGATAATTTGTAATTCCTTGTACATCGTGTTCTCCGAATATTCTATTCAATCGATTCATACGAAAAAATAGATCTGCACGTAAATAAAATAGATTTCTCCCTGTTAGCGATCACCATATCTTCACCAGACAAGGCAGAAACTGAAACACTGTCAGTTCGTTCACTCCTGCATCTCAAAGTTTCGATTTCTTGACCATATTGAAACTGCCATGCTTGCCTGATCCTTTCACAAACCTCTGTGCACCTGAAACCAGAAATAGAGGTACAGGTATTCATTTCATTGTCACACTTCACTGGTTTGTATACACTTGGCTCCTCGCAGTGAGGCCACCATTTTGAATCTACGAATCAAGCCACGACCTGGTTCCAGTGATTGTTCTGACCAATCAGTGCTCAGATTACATCACACAAATGGTAACATGATATATATAATATCAAGGACACAACTCATGCACATTCACATTCCAGACTAATATACAATGTATAGCATCACCGCTACACTCCAATTCAGCCCCCATGAAGATCTAGGTAGAGAATAGGTCTTCAGTAACCCACGCTTGCCATAAGAGGCGACTAATGGATCTCGTGGTCAGGCTTGCTGACTTGGTTGATGCATGTCATCATATCACAATCTCGTAAATCGATGCTCATGATTTCAATCAATTAATTGTCTGGTCGATTATTTACAGACCGATGTCATATAGATGGAATTTTGCTTTGTGCAGCATTAAACAACAAACAAACAAACTGCATTTCAGACGTATGTAATCACAGGAGATGGGAGAACTAGAGTATACAAATCGGTTAATATTAACAATGAATTTCAGTATACCGAATCTCACATGAAGAGCTTGATATGCCCACAGAGGCAGCCTAAAATGAAATAATTTCAAGGTCTCCATTGCCAAAAGTAGTCAGCTTCCACCCCAAGACAGCCTAGTTGATTTGAGGAGGATATTTTATTGTATGTCCTCTTCACATCACGAGAAATAGGGTTAAAAATGTTTCTCTTCATTGAAACCGGCAATCAATATTTTTGTGGTATTGTTAAGAAAACGCCAGAGGGACTATCAAGATCATCCAGATTATAACAGAAGAGTTGTCTTTCCTTGTCTCACCATTTCAGCATGGTTGGTAAAGGTTTTTCTGCATTATATTGTATCACTAATTCATTATTTGATAGGGAAAAACGAAAATAAGTACTTACCCTTCACCGACTCCTTTGCTACGACTTTGATTCCATTCTCATATTCAAACTGAAATGCATCCAGTGTATTTTTGGCAGTAAAGGAGCTGTAATAGGCTGACCTCCGGTCAGTCAGCATGCATTCCTGGGGGAACTTGGCGATGTCTTTGGCCAGCTGGACTGCTTCCTCGACAGCTAGGCAGCAAAGGGAAACAGACTTATCATGGTCCATACACACAAGTCACATTACACAGTGTGCCAGCTGTACAGGACTATTCATGATGCGGTCAGTATCAGATATCCAAACTGTATCATAGTAGCCTGTAACAGGCTGAATCAGACCAGACAAACCAGTGGTTGATAGCAATAGCAATGGTCCAAGACCAATACTTGTTTTGATGTGCAAGATTTTGTTATGTTTGTTTGCCTGTTGTTTAACGCCACACTCAGCAATATTCCAGCTCTATGATGGCGGTCTGTAAATAATCGAGTCTGGACCAGACAATCCATTGATTGACATCATGAGCATCGATCCACGCAATTGGGATATGATGACATGCATGAACCAAGTCAGCGAGCCTGACCACCCGATCCCGTTAGTCGCCTCTTAGGACAAGCATAGTCGCCTTTTACGGCAAGCATGGGTTGCTGAAGAGCTGTTCTAACTCGGATCTTCACAGGTCAGATGTGCAAGAGCAATGGTCCAAGAGCAATACTTATTTTGATTGATGACAATCATGACAGCCATATTGAAAACAAGATTCAAAACTCTTGTACAAATGTATGTGACAGCTTCATTGGTCCAGTGGTCCAGATATGTTTTTGTAGTTGTATGTTGGTCATGACATAAGCTCACTTATGAGGTAACTACAAACTGTTTATTGGACAAAACTAAAAACAATTGATTGCCCTGAAGAAGAACTGGTCACACAGAGTGTTTAAATAACCCACACAATGATGAAATATGTTTTATGTCTTATGTCTTATGTTTGATGGGGGCACGGGTGGCCCAGTCGTCTAAGGCGCCGCGATTCGCTGTGCAGAGTTGCATCCCTTGGGCACGCCAGAAACCTATGATTGTAGGTTCGAATCCCGGTTCGCCCCGATTATGTTTCTAGGTTTGTCAGCACCATACCCGTGCTCGTGGGTTTCAGCGAAGTGGTAAACGTCTGAGACCTGCATCACTTCGGGCTTTCCTCCCACATTAAGCTGACACGCCGTGATATAACTGGAATACTGTTAAAAGCGGCGTTAACCCAACTCACTCACTCTTATGTTTTATGAGATGTGTTTTTCATCTGGCACACAACTGACTCTCTGAGTGACATGACGTACCTGTGCCAGCTGCGACAACTCGGTTTGCCAGTCCAATTTCCTTTGCTTCTGTAGCGGTCACCGCTCGACCTGTCAGTATGAGGTCAAGGGCACGGGATAAGCCGATAAGTTTGGGGAGCCGGACTGTTCCTCCATCAATCAATGGCACACCTGGAATTAACAGATACACTGGAATCACCATTCCATACAGAGGTCTACAGCCAACTCTATTATTCATATATTCAGTTTACATTCAGATCTGTCAAGATCCTGGGTAGAATAGGTCTCCAGCATCCCATCCTTGCCGTAAACCACAACTATGCTTGTCGTAAGAGGCAACTAACGTGATCAGGTGGTCAGGCTAGCTGACTTGGTTGATGCATGTCATCGTATTCCAATTGTGTAGAACTATACTCATGATATCAATCACTGGATTGTCTGGTTCAGACTCGATTGTTTACAGACCGCTGTTGAATAGCTGGGATATTGCTGAGTGTGGTGTTAAATAAAAAAAACAACCAAACAAACATTTAGACATTTTCCTTTTCATTAACGAATTCTGCGATGCTTAATGACTCATAAATGATCGTTCCAAGCACAGGATTTATCCACAACACTAGCCCTAGCTTTACCTGAACTCCAGGCAGTGTGTGGCTTTGTTCTATTGTAAACACCCTAAACATTTTTAACATTCCTGTCACATTTCACTCACTGAAAAATTTCTCAACAAACTAATGAAAGAAAGTTTAAAAGAAAATGGAGTGTGTATATCATAGTGTATTTTATTTCCAACTAAACACCCATGGTTTTGTGGAACTAACTGATAAAAAAGAAAGGAATTAGAGAGAGAATGATTGAGTGAATGTTGTTTTACACCATGATCAGTAGTATATCATAGGGCATACTTTGAATAATGGAGTCTGGACCAGGCGAACCGATGACTGATGGCATGAGCACAGAACAAGTAACCAAGCCTTACCTTGCCACAACCTGCTAGAATATTACATGGTCGATCCCGAAAGAACATATAAATTGAATGCAAGAATATGTAACAATTGTATTTTTATAAAATAAATGTAGGGCTCACCTTAATCCTTCATAAACATTAAATCATTAAGGTCGTAAGTAAAGAGTAAAGAAGAATATGCAAAAATAATTTGTAAAAAACATCAAACTTTATACATATTTGATAATGATATGGATGAATAATAGACATCATTGTATATTTAATTATCATGGAACTGTTCTGGGTGAACAGTACCTTCCAAATGACGTGCTGGTTTTCTTGGGGAATTAGTCAGCAAAGAGCCAGAGTCACAGGAGACTAATCACAATTTTATTTACAAGAACAATTAACAATTTACAATATACTTAGATAATAACTGAGGGTGCCACAGAGAGTCGGTACACACTCTGGGCTGTGGGAGAGAGGTCTGCTTGGTAAGAGAGTCAAACCCCTTCTCTGCTTAAAACCTGCCTACAGTATGTATTTAACAAAAATTTAAACAATAGAAAGGAATGTGATTGGTTGATACACGATTGGTTGTGTCCTAAGCTAAATGGATGGCTAGACAGAGGGGAATACTAAATCCTGTTTATCCTGTTGGACTGGCACTAATCTTGTTGACATATTTACTGGATGCTTTGAAAGAGATTAGGGTGTCACTATAGATGAGCTTGTGTGGGGGCTAATCCTTAATGCCCTATAGACGAGCTTGTATGGGGGCTAATCCTTAATGAGTCTTAATTGAAGTAATGTTATTCTAATATACCCCGGTAGGTGATGACAGATATACTTAAATAAATATCCTTTGTCTGGGAGATGGGATCTTGATACCTTAGGCTAGCAACCATCTAAAAAAAGCTTTAACTGAAACTACTGATATTTTATATATGCATTTTACCTAATGATAATTATTACTTGCTAAACTATAATTATATGAAATGATGTATAAATATTACACCATGATAACTCATAAAAGCACTTGATGTAGATCTAATTATTATAAGATAACTTAGTATAAATGTTATCCCATGATATAACACTGAATTGTAAATTTTTAAACTGATCCTGTCTCACACTATGCATTTCTTCCTTCTGCTTTTGATCCTCATGTGGAAATGGGCTTGAACAAAGTTTCCAGCTTCTAAAAACATTTCACCCAAACACATCCCAGCATCACCATGGTCACCACCCAAACAAATGGGTCACGCACTGTAATCCTGTAGTGTGACTTTTCACAACTTGATCACCTGACTACCCCTGCCACATCACACTCTTGCTTAGAACTGACAGGCTAGAGGAGCTGTGATGAGGTGATGGTCAGGTGGGCATGTAGTGTGAGAGATAGGATCAGTTTATAAATATACAACTTGATGAAAAATTTACAATTTTTCTAAACTTCTCCTTTCTATGCATTTAACCCATGGTTGGACGGTTGGGTGCAGATACCCTAGCCTTTAGTAGACTACAACTGTGAGTGAGTGAGTGAGTTTGGTTTTACACTGCTTTTAGCAATATTCCAGCAATATCACGGGGGGGGACACCAGAAATGGGCTTCACACATTGCACCCATGTTGGGAATCAAACCCGGGTCTTCGGAGTGACGAGCGAACGCTTTAGCCGCTAGGCTACCTACAACTGTTAGACATACAGGAGGAAGCTGGTGCTAAACAGTGACACAAATAGAGAATCTATAACACTGCCCGATGTAGTAAAGACAAGGTGATGTGACCACTTTACACTAGTTGGACGTAGCATCATGAAATCGGGTATGACAGGTTATGTGTTTTCACGTAGGACATTGTTACACAAGCAACTGCGTAGCTTTGAACAGAGACCTATTCAGCATATGACTTATAACCAATCTGGAATAGGTCTCCAGGCAATCAGTTCTACAAGACCGATCACACCACTATCTCCAACGGACAAAAGGGTGAGCCAGCTTGGCATCTCCTTAAACGCTTTGTCAAAGCTATCAATCATGCCTGCGTAACTGAAGCATGCCAAGAGGAAAAGAGGAATAATCGACAAGATAACTTAGTATAAATGTTATCCCATGATAACTTCCCCTCCGTCTGAAAAAGTTTGGACCCCAAACATGTAAAAATAAAAATAATTAAGGCTTAGATGGACAATGTATAAAGTTAAACTGGTAGTAGTGAATAATAATTATTATATAGTCATAAAAATGCTGTCATCAGGGGTTCTGGATGTGGAGCTGGCTTGTCTTGGCACTCTGTATTGGTGGTTTTATGGGTGATGTAGGAGGCCTTGAGTTCCACATCCTGGATTGGGGTTGTGAGATAGTAGGCTGTGTCCATGGAGGTTTTACATGGAAACAAAGAAAAGAGAGTTAGCATGTTCAAATAATATGTCATATATAAATACTTCCTCAGTTTGTCTGTAATAACTAGAAAATAAAACAAATATGATAATTATGATGTAAAAGATCGGTACATAATTATTACTAAACGGTGTCATGACCAGGAAGAATGTATTGGCGGCAAATTACAAAAGTATATCATGAAAAATAGTAATATCCTTCTATTTTTGGATACAATCATTAGACGCATTATATATACATATATGTGCATGTGCATATAACAAGTGCATTGGTTTATTACACTAATACGGTATACAAAAGGTGTATATCCTTTTTAGAATTCTTTGTTAGTTTTCGTAACTATTTGGTTTGTCTTTTCTTTGTTTTGGTTCATTTCGGTTGTTAAGTTTCCTTTATTTGAATTTGGTTTGTTTCGCTTTGATTTTCCTTCGGTTCAATGCGATAGGGTTTGGTTTATTTTGCTTCGGTACGGTTTGGGTTCGATTCCCAGTATGGTTTGGTTCGCTTCGGTACGGTTTGGGTTCGATTCCCAGTATGGTTTGGTTCGCTTCGGTACGGTTTGGGTTCGATTCCCAGTATTGTTTGGTTCGCTTCGGTACGGTTTGGGTTCGATTCCCAGTATGGTTTGGTTCGCTTCGGTACGGTTTGGGTTCGATTCCCAGTATTGTTTGGTTCGCTTCGGTACGGTTTGGGTTTCGATTCCCAGTATGGTTTGGTTCGCTTCGGTACGGTTTGGGTTCGATTCGCAGTATGGTTTGGTTTGTGTCATTTCACTTCGCTTTTGAGATTGGTTGATCAGGTCAATACTCAAAATTTGTTGTGATACAAATAACTCAGATGATCAGGCTGATGCCATTTGTTCTCAACTGGCGAACCATAGTGAAAAGACTGGACACAAGAAAACATAACAAGATACAGCTAATAGCTGTTTCGTGATTTGCACCGTTTATTCAGGAGATTTTGTATTTTGATTAAGAATATGTTCAATTGGCAGCTGTCGATATATATGGCGAGTTGATCCTGGTATGGTTCCGTGTGACTACGGTCTGTGAGTGAAATACTGTAGAAAAAGGTGTTGATGTTTCCAAAGTCTTTATCTGGAAAAATAACCCTTTTGGATTTATAATATGGTGCTTCCTCTGGATCATATCGAGGATTATCTTCTAGACAGGACCAATTACGGAGATCCTGCCAGCTATCATCAAGGTAGCGCTGTATGAGGTGGGGAGGAACACTTTCAAAATAGCATGTGAATTGATCAGGATTATCTTTATATAAGACCTTGACAAAGCAGTCTCCTTGAATAATTTCAATGCCCATAACTCTTTCTATTTTATGTTCTACTCTTCGTAGGCGTTTTGGAATAAACGGATATGGTTTGACGTCTAATTCTATGCATGGTTTGGTGTTGTCTTGCTCGACATTTCCTGACATTGTATTCCCTGACAGAACATTGACTGATTTATTGTCTGATGCCTTTTGGTCGAAAAAACTTATGATTCTTCAGTGGACGTTTTCGTCGTTTTCCTGACATACTTCTTTTGAGGTGAAATTCTCTCCGAATGGAGTCTGGAATGCTGCTGCCATACTCCCATGTGTTTCCTCTTTCTGGATCCTTCCATTTCACTCTGTAGTAGATTTTGCCATTTGCTCTCTTGGAACTAACAATTGAGTGGATGTCCTCTGGATTGAAGACCTGAGAGATATCCTTGGTTTGATTACCTGATGTTGGACTTGGAGGTTGTACCTGGCTGTCGTCGGGTTGTTTTCTGGATTTGGGCTGGTGGTGCTTACTATTCACTCCTCTTTTCCCTTTATTTACCT